TTCTCCAGGTACCAGTGTCGGACCTGCTGTGTGGTACGGACCCCAAACTCCTGCTCCCCTCTCCTTTATCTGTCACAAACAATGACCCCAAAACACCTGTGGACTTCTCATTGGGGCTTGATGTTCATTACACAGATGAGGCCAGCACTGACACAGGTGGAAATAATGGTCCAAGAAGTAGGTCGGGCAACGAGGCTTAAAGAGTGCTGACAGAGGGTCCGAACCCCGGCAGAGAGGACATCCCTGCACACCCGGCCACACTGCCACTGAAGGGCTCCCTGGTGGGCGAGAACAGCTGGTGAGTTCAATGTTCAGGCGTTGGGAAGGCGAGAGTCAGATCTGTAAGAGGGACGGTGTGGGCCAACTGCCTCTCAGTTCTAGGGGGGCCATGTGGCAGGGCAGGAGGCAGAAACCGAGACGGTGGGCGCGAAGGCGAGGTGAGAGCCTGCCTAACCCGGGGCCCTTCCTCAGGCACAGGACTTAACGCCACTCAGGGACACGGTCTCCCTGTGCCTCACCGCCCTGCTCCTAGACTGTGGGGCAGGCAGGAGAGGGAGGGACAAAGGCAGAGGTGCAGAGACGGGTCTGTAAGGGGAGGCCAGAGGCCACCGAGGGCTATGTCCTCGCAGGGCCCAGAGGACAGAGCACCTCCACGGCTACTGGGATGCCTGCGTCACTAAGACCTCATGGTGGCTGCTCGTAAAGCCAGGGCTGAAGCCGTCACAGAGTTGGGGTCATTAATCACGCTAGAGATGACTGCACCCCAAAATGAGAGCAGGAAGGAAGTGAAACCACAGCTCCTTTCTGGTAACCACCAGCGATCCTGAGGAGCTGCCGATGGTTCACGGCTCATAGGTGCTGCAGGGATAAGGGACGGAAGCCTTGTCCCTAGGGACTGTGAGACACCTGGCGCCTGACGCCAGAGAGACAGGAAGCCGTACACCGGAGGAGGCATTCAGACGCAGAGCAGCGAATGCCGAGCCCAGCGGCAGGATGATTTCAACCAGGGCTCTTCCCGGCCCTGCCTGAGGGATCACAGCCATTTGGCCAGGGGACCATCCACCAGCAAGGGGGACCCCCACTCCACGGCCTCTGCTGGGGCTCAGACCCAGCTGGCAGTGAGCCCCGGGCGCAAGACCCCAGTCGGCGCTCACTTCACCCAACTTAGTGAAAAGCGAGCCCTCGCGGAGGTTGGACTCACTTGGGTCCTCAGCCAGTGGGCCAAGAAACAGCATTACCGGAAAGACCAAGAGGAGGCCTTGAAACTGCCACTCCTGGGCCAAGATGGTGAAGCAAAAACGTCACATCCCAGAATGATGCAGACATCAGTGCCTCTGCAATGACTGTGGGTCAGCCTGAATGGCCACCGCATCCGGACATTTGGCCAATGTTATCTTGGATGCTTCCAGGAGGCACTTTTAGACGAGACTTCACTCAGATTAGGGCTTTACATCAAGCAGATTGGCCTCCGCATTGTGGGTGGACCTCATCCCACCATTAATTAAAGGTCTGGGTGGAACAAAGCCAACTCCCCAGCAGGATGGACTCTGCCAGGCGGCGTCCTCCGGTCTTCCCCTGCAACGTCTGCTCGCCCTGGCTCGCCAGTGGCTGCCGCTGGATTTGAGCCAGGACCCCCTTTCCTCCCTGGAGCCTGGCCTCCCCAAGTTTCCATGGCCATGTGAGCCGAGAAGCTTTAAAAGAACCCCCCGCCACACCCCGCATGGTTCTCCTTCGCTGGAGGACCCCGGCCAAGGATGGGAAGCGCGTGGCAGAAGTCCCTGTCCTGCCCCCGCTGACGCTGCCTGCCTGGGGTCCATGGAGCCCACACAGACCCTGGGAGCAGCAGGCTCGGTCGAGTAGGAGCCTTGGTCACAGCAGCCGTGAAGGACACAGCCGTTCACCTGATGTCCCTTTCCTTCTCTATTCCGATCCAAGGGAATCAGAAACAGATTGCAGTGACACAGAATGGGCTGTGTTTAGCTGTCACCCTCTGCTGTACCACAGCGTCCACCCCGCCCACTGGTCCAGTGCGCCAGTGACACACCGTCTGTCTGGCAGGGCCAGCAAGCACGGCCTTGGATGCTGGAGGCTTGGGAAGGAAGTGAGCCCCAGAAAGTGGGAGATGAAGCCCAGTAGAAGCAGGGTCCTGCCACTCTGGTGACATTTTGGGGACCTCAGTGACCCCCAAGTTCTCCTGCAAAGTCAAAGACAAGTCGCTGCACCTTCCGTCTCCTGCTACAAAGGGAGGCACAACCCCTGGGGTTCTCCAGATGCTGGGAAATCTGGGGCTGCCAGCTTTGACCTCTGCGGGCCAGGTTGCAGTCCCAGCTGTGCCTCTGCGGGACGCGGGGAGGTACGGTATGTGGACAGACGTACGCCCCGAGGTGCAGAGTGGGTTCTCTGGTCTTACCAGTCAGCGCCCACCCTGAACGCACACCTTTGAAAGGCACCAACGCCATCATTTGCACCCAGCCCACTCCTGTTAGCCGTCCAGCCGCGATCCAGGCAAGCGAGTGGTACGGAGGCTTTGTGTGAGCGGCACCTACACACAGGCGCTCCTCCTTTCAATACCAGGTCGTCCTCGATAGCAGCCAACCCAGGCGCCTCGGGGGCGCTGTTTCTCAAGAAGACGAGGAGTCGTTTAGTGCTGGGAGCTCTGCTGTCCTGGAAGGACCAGTGGATCATCCTCGGGGGTGGAGACATGGCACCGCCTTTTCTGCCCGAAGAGCCTGGGCCAGCACCAGCACCCCAGGGTACACGAAATGCCCGATTCACAGGCACGGAGCCCCACATGACATGATGTGGCACCTGATCAGGGGACTCATTTTGCAGACAGAGCTGCAAGCGTGGGCTCTGGACCACGGAGTCCACAGACCCTTGCCTTCCCAAAGCAGCCAACATGATGACGTGGGGATAAGCACAGCTGAAAGCCAGTTTGGAACCAGTACTCAGGAGGACAGAGTGGCATCATGTGGGGTACAGTGCACGCGTTGGAGACCTCTGCCTACAGAGTTTCCAAGTGGAAGATGGCAGGGCTGTAGGAACCCAAGGGCAGAGCAGCTGGGGCCCCTCCCATCCCTCGCCGTGACTCACTGGAGGATGTCTGCTTCCTGTCCTTAGCATCTCAAGCTCAAGGGCAAGGGGCTCATTCCCTAGGGAGCAGAGTCTGCCCCGGGCATGGAAAAGGTCTCATAATTATCAGGTCTGGCTACTGCCCGAGTATTTTGGGCTTCTTGTATCCAGTGATCTGTGGAAGAGAAACCACCACTAATCTAAGGCAATGGCCATGAACAGCAGGAGAAAGCCAAGCTGTGTTTCCCCATTGTCACCCCTGTGGGAGCCTCTTGGTACCCCATCACCCAGCTGCAGCCACAGAGACACCGGAATGGGCATGTTGGAATAGAAGAGCCCCTGAGGAGAAGGCGTGTGGGTCACCTCACCGGGTAGGCTGCCAGGGCAGTTGAGGTGGCCATCAAGAGTGAGAACGTGGAAAGGACAGCGGAGCAGGTACAGCGCCTCAGGATGGAGTTTGTCTTGCTGACCTCCCTTTTTGAAGTTTTCCTCCCAGAAGAGTGGCTCCCAGGCACCATGGGACAGCTGTTCCTTGGATGTGTGTGGGGAAATGGATCTGTGTGACATGAAGGTGGACCCCAGCTTCCAAAGAACCTACTGAGTAAGGGGCAGAGGTAGCTGTGCAGAGTCTTAGAGCTAGTTATTCCTTCCAGGGGATTTCCTGCTCTAAAGCTCCTCCCATCTCATCTGTCCTTGGTGCTTTGCTTCTTGGGGGAGCTGAACTGAGATAAATCATTTAAAATATTTTGATAGGCAGAGTTCTCAGAAAACTTAGAAATGCATGCTGCTTCATTCTTCCACCATCTCAGACAACCTCCCGCCATTTTAGACAACCTCCTGCCATCTCAGACAACCTCCCACCATTTTAGACAAACTCCCGCCATTTTAGACAAACTTCCGCCATCTCAGACAACCTCTCACCATCTTAGACAAACTCCCGCCATCTTAGGCAACCTCCCACCATCTCAGACAAACTCCCGCCATCTTAGACAACCTCCCACCATCTCAGACAAACTCCCGCCATCTCAGACAACCTCCCACCATTTTAGACAAACTCCTACCATTTTAGACAACCTCCCATTTCCTCCCTGTAGCCCTCAGTACCTGGCACATACGCAGATTGTGGATCTACACTAAAATCTTGATTTTCAAGCAAGATTTTAAAGCTCATATCCAGAAGCTCAGTCCTGACTGCAGTCTCATCACTGATTAGTAATGGATTACAGACCTGGGACAATGATTGCTTCAGAAGCCAAGCTAGCAGGTGTCTTACTTTGGCAGTGCATAAATTATCTAGTCTCACTTAGCAGGCAGGTTTTAAAAATATATTGAACTCCTCATTACAGATTCTACAATTACACGTCCCATCTGAGCCAGCTCAGGTGTGGGGTTTCAGGTCTATTCTTCCCTTGCCGCCCCAATTATCTATCTGGATCTAAATTCCTAGGATTCTCCAGTTAAGGTCTGAATCGCTTATAGAATTGCTAACATTGAAACTGCCCACTCTAAAGGGGCGTTCCGGCGACCTCCTGCTTTCCTATAATTTTGCTGTGTCTCTGTCCTTTTGCCAGCTCCTCCATTTCTGTTTTGCTTGTAATATTCCGTTACCTCTGCTTTTGCACTCAATTGTCCATTTCCGGGCAGCATTTTGGTTTTTATTCGCCTAGTAAGAGAAACCTAAGCTTTGAAACTGGACTGTTCCAGAATACTTTTCACATGAGCACAGATCTTTCTCCTAATATACTTTTCAGCTGGTGAACTTATTTCTAACAGAAAAAGTTCCCAAGATAGGGCAGGGCAAAGAGCCTCGAAACTGGGTTAGCGCTAATCCCCGCATCCTACCACGAGTTTCCCAGGTGCCCTGAGGACAGGCACCTGCCCCTTCTGTGCCAGGGAACACTGACTGCAATTATAAATATTTCACTCACAAAGTACCCGTTCACGAAGCTTACGGCGTCTCCACAGGACTGAGGCCTTCTCGGGCTTAGCACAGCTATGACCACTTCAGATCGCTGACCTGGAGGCTCCCTGGCCTGGAAGAGGAAGAGTTTTGGGAAGTCGGCTTTTCCACATTCTGCGGCCTCCGGGGAGAAACGTAGATAAAAGACCCAGAGGGGATCAACAGTTCCACTCTGGAGATTAGCGATAGGAAATTTCTTCTTGGAACAGATAAACCCTCTGTTGTCATTCAAATTCATTTTTATAGGGTTGATATGAAAGGTTAAGAATTCGTAATTATGTCTTTTTGCACAGAGAATGAACACACTTCCTAACACTGTTTCCTGCGCTATAAAGTTTTTTTTGCAAATGGCCGTCTGAGCGTAGAAAACCACCATTCATTCATTCATTTAATGTTTTTGAGCTCAAGCCATCGGTTAGTTTTTCGTAGCTTCTGCCTCTTGAAAATCACCACAGATCTGCGGCTCCTTTGACAAACTCAGTATTTTGCAGTTACTGTGGTCACTCGGGGAGATTCTGAAGCAAGTGCACTCTGACCTAGGCAGAGGCTTTCCCGGTCTCGCCGTGGCGCTAGTGCTGGCTCCCAGGCGCACAGAGGCCCCCTTTCTTTCTCTGGCTCCTGTGCATTAACCAAGACATGGAGTTAGCTAATAAGTGTGCTTCCGGCTGAGGCAGGAAGCGAGACTCTGATTCCCCACGCCTTCTCCCTCCTGTGACCAAGTGACCCGCACCATTCCAGACACTGGGACCCCTGGCACCTGGGTCCCTCTGTCAGCCTCCCACGTGCGGAGCCACTGAAAGGTAGAGGCTGCTGGTTACGGCAGCCGCCCAGCCCAGGTGACCAGCATCACCTCATCACTGCCTTCATGCCCAGAGCACGCCTGACCCTCTATGGTCGGCAGGGCAGGGGTCAATCAGGCTCCACGACGTCAATGTGTAACCTGAGAGAGTCAGCTCTTCTGGCTCCGGATCCAAAGTTCCTTCCAGGAAGGGTGGCTACCAGGGGAAGCAGCAGATGACAAACACCTGGTCGGCTGTGTGGGGGAACAGGCCTTCTGGGAGGTGATGCCCCCCAGCGCAGCCCCTGTACTTGTGCATGGCTCTTCTCGCTGGGCTGTCACAAGGACTGTTCTCCTTACTTTGCTGTGTCTTCTTTCTCTGTGTTGGGGAATCAAACCCAGAGCTGCGAGCCTGGCAGGCAGGCGCTCTGCCCTGGAGCTGCCCACCTTGTCTGTCTTCCTTGACCAAAACACATTTCCTAACCCTACCAATGAATGACTGCATTTGTGTTAAGGTAACAGAGCCATGCACATAATATACAGACGCGTCCCAAGGATGCGTCAGTCCATAATCACAGCCTTTCCAGCCCTTCAGAACTCCCGGGAGGGCTCTTTTCTTAGTATTTCCTTTCTCATTGCAATGTAAATGCCACAGTTCGTTCCATGCACTAGGCTCACAGCCCGGACTTGGTGAGCAAGGGCTCGTTCTGCAAGGCTTCTGTCCGGTGTCCTGGAAGGGAACCCACTGGCATTTGGCGAGGCTGAGCGCCCCACGGAGCCCGGGTGTTCTCCACGTGAAAAATAAAAACCACTGGGGCCGGTGCAGTCGCAGTAGGGACGGGCGGGAGTGAACAGACCTGAGAGCCCCGGTTCTTACTCTTAGGTGGACAGGACTCGAGACTAAAGGCCAGGAGCTGTGCAGGGGCAAAAATCAAAACTTCTATCTTGGGAACAAAACAAGCAAGGTGTCCCAAGGAGGAACCAGAGGGGAGCGTGTGTGTGTGTGTGCCTGCCCGTGTGTGTGTCGGAACCCAGGGGTGCTTGACCAATGAGCTATGTCCCGGCCCCTTCTCCTTTTTTATTTTATTTCTGAGACAGCATCTCACTAAGTTGCCCAGGCTGGCCTTGAACTTGCGATCCCCAGTAACTGGGATTGTAGGCGTTTGCCAGCACAGGCCAAATCACTGGAAGTCTTCGGCCAGCTCGAATGATAACTACATCCCGTGGGGACCAGAGGACCCTGCAGAAACTCCCAGCCCTGGTAACAAGCCACTCCGGGCCCTCTCCCTGCTCCCTGCTCCCACCGGCCCTGCTGCAGCCTCAGTCTGTGTCAGGCAGACTTTCCAGTTCTTTCAAGGCCTCCTTGGCTTTGTTAGGCCCCGCCGAACCTTCCAGGCCGTCACTGTGGCTGGCTGAGTTCTTTCCTCGCTGGGATCCCTGGGCCAGTCAGGTGTGCAGAATAAAACCCCCACTCTCCTGTAGTCGCCCCTTTCTCCTGGGTATTAGGGGGGGGGCTTCTCGTTTCCTTCCGGCTTTAGGTTTTAGCTTAAATTTGAAACATCAGGGAAAATCCCATTTAGCATTTTATTACGTCTCCAAATGGACCTGGACAAAGACCAAAGATCTGGGAAGAATAAATGGTCTTGGGCCAAAGAAAGTGTTTTATAAAGAAAAAAGCATTCCAACAGTTTAAAGTCTGCTGGACAGCCAAGGAAAATTAGGACAGAAAAGTATTCGCTGAAGTTGGGGAGGAAGCAATGGCCCGGCCAGGGGTGAGTTTAGCAGGAGGGAGGGAAGGGAAACGGTTTCCTAACAGGAGGCTGAGGCGGGAGGGTCATCTGGGAGACAGGAGCACAAGGCAGGCCACAGGGCTGTGATGGAGGAGTGAACCCGGGGCAGAAGAAGGCTTGTTTTGCAAAATGAAAGGCTTGGCTGTATTTCAGCGCTAAGGGAAAGGAGGTTCTTGGGATAAGAGTGAGATGGTGGTTTCCATGGTCTCCTTTTCATCTCCCAAGGAAAATGAACCCGCAGGAGTGATGTGAAGGTTCGTGCCAGACATGGGTGGGCAGCAAGCCCGCTGCCTGTGAGGAGGAGCAAGTGTGTTTCTCCCTCCCTTTCCAAGATGTAAATCTTGATTTTACACATTTTAAATTATTTAATTTGGGATGATTTTTTAAAAAAAGAAAAAGCAACTTCCTGTGATGTAAAAAACCCCAAACATGTGTTTCTACCCCATATCAAACTTGCTTCCACTTTAGTTGCACAGACTGCTAATTTGGGTGAGCGATGGTCAGAGATCATAATTTAACACTGGGGCTTTCTTTTCACCTCTTTCCTCTCCCTAATGATCTGTTCCTGGGCCTAGAAATAGTATGAGTTCACTCAGTGCCAGGAGCGGTGGCACACACCTGTCCCAGCTCTCAGGAGGCTGAGGCAGGAGGATTGCCTTGAGTACAAGGCCAGCCTGAGCTACATAGGGAGACCCTGCCTCAAAAAAAGGGCAGAGTTCATTCAGTGTGAAATGAAAATGTAGATGGAGGAAGGTGGGAAGGAATAAAGGACGTGTGGCAAACAACATCGCCTCTCTAGAGCCCTGTGTGAACCTGTGAGCACGTGGGCTGGAGGCTCCAGACCCCGAGTTCCGACCTCTCCCCCTCACACTCCACACCCGGCCACTTCCACCAAGGAGCCCAGACTGGGGAGGGCAGTGTGCGCACACGTCTGTCCAGCCCTGGAGGCGCTGTGGCCATGGTGGCCGCCCTGGCTCCTGGGCCTGACCCTGCATTCTCAGCACGGCTGGAGCTCAGCAACGTGTCACAAAAGCCCCAGGAAGATTGTTCCCAAAGAAGGCTGAGGCAGCACGGTCCCGGGACCTGTCCTCACGCTGCACAGCCACGCCCGGGTCAGCGCTGTGGCGCTGTCTGGGCCAGGTCTCAGCCTCCAGGCCAGGCCTTCAATGGGTGGAGAGCCAGAAGTCACCAAGCCCGGCCCGGTTCCACCACGCTCCTCCCGCAGCTGAGCCGGCACAAAGCTGCCCTGAATGGACCCCGAGGCACTGGAGCTGGACGGTGCAGTCTCATGGCCGCCCACGCTCTGCCCACTCCCTGGGGGCTGTGGTCTCAGCCAGAGTTTGTGGGACGCAGCAGCAGGTCCCAGGTGCACACCTCCCAGGGGGGCCCCGGGGTGGGGATCCTGGATTTGATTGAGCAAACCGGCCATTCAGGATGCTAGAGACCACAGGAAAGCGATACTATTTGGTTTGAGCCGTAACAGGAAGCCAGAAGCACACTAGTCCCTGCCTGTAACACAATGAGGCACTCAAGTATGTGCTGACTTAATACAGTTACAACGACAGCAAAAGCCTGGTCATGCGGGGCCACAAAAACGTCAATTAAAATGTCCAGGACCACTCTGGGCCTCAAGTCCATCATGGAATAGAGAGACAGATGGTGTGCTTGTCAACTTTAGATCCAGCTATCTGTGGCAGAAAGTCCTAAATAATAGTGACTCAGGAAGGACGGAGACTTATTTCTGGTACTCACAAATTCATTGGAAGACAGCTCAGAGTACAGCAGATTCTGGAAGTTGTTGAAGGCCCAACGTCCTCAGCACCTTCCATGTTGTAGTTCAGAATGGCTGCTGGAGTCAAGCCATCACGCCTACATTCCAGGAAACAAGAAACAGAAAGGAAGAGGGAAGGAGATCATGCTCCTTTCTGTGAGGAGTCACACAGCTGAAGGAGTCAGAATTAGACTCAGTCCCTGCCTGTGAGGGTAACACGTGTTCACCACGAATCCATCACATCTCCCCAGCACCGTGTAAGGTCCTCACCCAGCAACTTAGATTGTTTTTCTTTAAAATTCTTTCCACTTAGCTGTAAAGATGCACTCTACTTAATAGGCACAGCACCTGCCAGATGGGCCTCCCAGCAAACTTATTTCAATTTTTAATCATCATGGAAGAGGAGCACAGAAGGAAAGAGCTCTGCAATATCCCACCGGTGTAGCAATGAAAATCTCCAAGCGGCACTGGAGAGACCAGTTCCTCAACTTCCATTTTGTAGAAGTCTGTTAGATTCCTTTTTCCTCACAGCCAAAAGTACTTGGGAGGCGCCTGTGCTCAGTTAGTTCCACTCAGTGTAATTACTAACCAAACAATGAGCTCCACTTACACGCACATTTTCCCATCAATGCAAACATTACTAAATTGAAGCAAGAATTTGGCTTGGGAAAATAACACCCTGCAGGAGGTAACAGGTGACCAGACCAGAGACCAGAGAGAAACAGCAGGGACTTGGGAAAGCTGGAAACCGACATTTACTAACTTGGGTTCTAAGCATTCTGGGTAATTTTTACCCACCTGGGCGGCCATTGCAGGAGGAGTCATTGGCACCTCCGGCACATGCTGGTTCGGCCACCTCTAAGTCTGGACTCAGGCGACAGCTGGGCTTCCTCAGGGCATTGACCCCAGAGACACATGGGATCCAGACGGCCCGAGCCACGATGCCAGCTGTGCCCCTGAGGCTGTGTGACACCTGGACCAACCTGTCGGCTACCTGTGCCTCAACTTCCCGCCTCCTGGGGTTTCTGTGAGGATGAAATTTTCTGCTTACCTGCAGCGCCCGTAGACCAGCGTCAGTGCAGGCTTAGCTGTCATCACTGACCCAGTCCTTGTCAGGGTTATTGTCTCTCCCTAAGGGCTTCCCTAAGGAGGAACAGACCCCCAGTAATGGGTAGCTCAGCAGTTTATTGGACATCTTCTTAGTTGTGTACTCATGCATACTTATCTTTTTTGATTTATTCTGGAGATATTTTTTCAATCTGGGTCATTCTAGGACAGCAGGCTGGGTTCTGCTTTAAGTTGTCTGTGGGGTGTTTTCATACAGGGTGAAGAGGCCCCGGCAGGGAGGCTATGCTATGGGAAAGTGGCTCTGTCACTCTGGGTGCTGAGGGACAGGGCTGGGCCCGGACACAGGGCCAGGTGGCCGGGGGCTGTCAGGGCCTTGATCACCATCCTACGCAGGGTGAATGGACACAGGATGCCCAGTTTGAATACTTTGATGGCTTGGTGGCACCGTGCTCCCCCTTGTCCTGTACCTGGCCCGGAGGGCCGAGGGCAGGAAATGGTGTCCTGGCCACAGGCCTCATGGGAGGCGGCAGGGCCTGGGTTCAGAACGAGCTGGCTGGCCTGGCAAGACCTTTGCGGTCTCCAGAAATCAGTCCCTTGGGAAGGGGCACTCCCTACCCGGGGCTCCTGGCCCCAACCTACCAGGTCACCATAAAGTACAGAAAATAAAACACAAATGGTGCAGGTACTACGTAGGCTGTGACTCAGGAAATGAACTCTCTCTCCCCTTGCCCAGCACGCCTTCCGCTTCTCTGTGTGCGACCCTCACCCTTCCAACCCCGACCCAAGGGTCACTTACCAGGGCCATGTGACAGCAGGACTCGTTCTCTGGGTCCAGCCCTTTGTCCCCGGTGCTGGGCACCTGGTATATGACAAGGTTGGGCGAACACTGTCATGTTCTAGAGAGAAGGCAGAGTCCGAACACTCAGGAAGAATGCTCTATCTGAGCAAAAGTTACAAGTCTTTTTGCCCAAAGAGTTAAAACCTTGCATTTGAAACACAGGGATAGCTGTGACTCAGCTGTTTTCCTGCTACTGGCCCTACCAAGTTCTAAAGCCGTAGGTGTGGGGAGTCTTAAATTAGCAACAGACTCCACCAGTGAAGAGCCTGGCACTGCAGGCAAGGTGAGGCCATGACCCCATTTCCAGGGAGATTAAAACGCCGATTTAAATTCAGCAGGTCTGGCTGCTTCCTGAGGATCTCACGCAGCCCTGACACAAGTGGGCTCTCGACTCTGAAGCTCACGCTCCCATCTCCAAAGACAGACTTTTTAGTTGTTGGAAACTTTAGGATTTGACCTGATTTCATCACTTTAAAAACACCCAGAACTTTCTCAGGTGACTTTCTTTCTATTCCACTCTTACTTCGTCCTGTTGCCTTGGGAGAAGAAGCTCAGCTGGAGTCCCTCAGCCCGTCCTCTCCGTAAATCACGGTGACGTCCGAGACATGGAATGCCTGGCCGCTGGCGAGCTGCATGGTCGGCCCGACAAGGGAGTCATTATGCGGACAGCGGCGTTTGATTATGTTTATCGTTTGATCATGTTTAGACATCATTTTACATTCTTTTCATGAAAAACATCTTGTTCTTTCCAGAAAAGCCTCCCCCGCGGGGCACAGGAGGTTTTCAGCTGCCCTGTCCTTCACTCACAAGTGGCTCTGAGTGCCAAGGTGATGAGAGAGGAATTCAGCCCAGGACGACATAACCCAGGCCACCCGAAGAGTGCTTCTCCTATAAGAGGAAATGGAAGGGGCCCGGGAGCCCGGTGTGTTCTTCCCAGCTGCTGACTAGAAATCAAAGGCGAGAAAGCGGCCCGGCATGGACGGCACCCCGTCTCCCGGCTCCCGGGCAACTCCGGCAGGTGCCTGCCACTCAGAAGTGGCCTGGGTGCTGTCCTCACAATCTGGGTCACTGAGGAGCCTCCTCGGTGACCTGGGCTTCTCTTTTTGTCCTTCCCAAGACATTTGCACTGAGGGACACCTGGCTTCAAGAAGCAAAAGCTAATCCATCCTGGTGATGCAAACAGGAGGAAGTGTCTCACACGCCACACGGACACCCCAGGAGGATGGGGTGGGAGCGTCCATCCTGGGGTTCTGCTGTACCTCGCAGCTCCCTCTGCAGCCTCACCCCTGCACCCCTACCACAGCCCTCCCTGCCGGGGACTCCTTTTCTCCACCCACTGTCCACGTCCACAGCTCGTCCATTCAAAGGAGACTGCACAGGGGCCTCATGCCAGCCTCCTTGTTCAGGGAACCGGGCCTGACTGGCCACGCTGAGTCAGACGCCGCTGTGGGCAGCAGAGCAGACCGGGGCACTGGAGGGGGGCACCCCATGACCTCTGGGCAAGGCTGGGAGTCTGGGGACACTTTCAGACAAGTCCGCTGGGCACCTTCACGTGTGTCCAAAATGACACTGCAATTTTTTTCAGTTGAGAAAGTAACAGTTATTGCTAAAAGTTTAGAAAATGAAGAAATATAGAGAAAAATGTAAATATCAATAACATTCACAGCTTTCAAAAATCTTCTGTTGGCATTTGTAGTCATCTCAGTCTTTTGCCTGTGTAAACCAATTCCTCTTTATTTTTAACTCTGACATTAAACACACAATTTTTTCAAAATTTACATTTTGTACATTTCCCCAAGGACATAGGCTTTAAAAGCAATTTTAAAGGACTAGAAGGTATTCCAATGTCTTCACTCGATTCTCTGGGGTTTTTTATTTCTTCTGTTTTACTTTTGAAAATAAGACACCTGACAGTACATGTCCTTACAAATAAATCTTGACGTTAGAGGACAAATGGAAAAGTGTCAGAGATTTGAGTCGTCTGCAGGCAGGGTATAGGAGCTTAATGAACGCAGGCGAACATGGCTCAGAAGCGCCGCTCTCTCCTGCACACACAGAGAGACCGAGGACGCCGCCAGCCCCTTCTGTTCACCCTCCGCCGGCCACCTGTCCCTGGGCAGCTGTGGCTCCCGTCAAATCCTCCGGCTTTCCGAGGAAAACACATCTGTGCCACACCTGCAGGGGGCGCCGTCTCTCCACTCAGAGTTACAACATGGTGCCAGCTGCTCACGTGGATTCCGCTTCTCCTCCACGCATCTGGGGTCTCACTGAGCCGGCAGCAGGGGGTTTAGATACCGGCGTCTGATTAAAACCCAAGTGAGGTAACAGATCGTCAGATGGGTATGCAGGGGATGCCTCCACTGGCACACACACTGGCACAACTGAGCACACACGCGTGTTCTGCTTGAGCCCATGGAGGAAACCGGGAGGAGCCGATGCACGCTGGGTTCACGCGCTCCCAGGAAGACACCTATCCAGTGTCCGTCCCAGGCCAGGCACTTGGCTCACCACCGAGCGGTCCCGCTGCTTCGGTGACCTTCTCGGTGCTCGAGTCCTGGGGGCCCGGGTCTCTGGACGCCGGCTGTGGGCTCCGTGCTCCGGCCCCCAGGTGCAGAACCTATGCGTGGACGCAGGTCGGATTTAGGGCAGACTTGGCCTCCCGGGTGATGCTCGGGAGACAGCGGGCTGCAGGCCAGGGGAGCTCGGGTCTTATGGGCCTGGAGACCTAGGAACAAGGGCGGCCACAGGGTAGCTCCAGTCCTGAGGCCAGAAGGCACGAAACTCAGGAAGAGTCGATGTGTCAGTGCGATGTGAAGACAAGAAAAACAAAGTGGTGGCCCAGGAGGAAGGCCGTCGGGCAGGAAGAGCGCTTACTGCGGGCAGCGTGTCTTGTGCTGGTCCCGCCTCTGACCGGGATCCCACCTGCTCTACTCAGTTACCATTAAACACAGACGCCATCCAAAGCGCCCTGCACAAACACCCAGGTAACCAACCAACCCCCGGGCGCCCATGGCGCATGAAGCTGCCGCCCGCTGAAGCTTCCGGTGTTCTTCCCCACGGCAGCGGGAAAACATCTCACCCGCGGGTCTGAGTCCTCGCGTGCCTTTAAAAACCGGCATCTGTGCAGCAGCCCCAAGTGGCAGTCGTGAGCCCCCACTTAGGGGACACAATGAACCCGTCCAGCACAGCTCCTGACTCACCACCTGTCCGAGGAAAGGCCCCCGAGCGTGTCTGTGCCTCTGGCCGCCGTAGATCTGACCTTCAGGCCTTCGCTTGCACCAGTGCCCCCGGCAGCTGGAAAGAGCTGGGCGGAGAGCACAGGGTACGGGGTGGGAGCCGCTCCGGGTGACCCGCACGCCCGCGCTTACCGGTGCCGCCACGCTCTCTCTAGCGCTGACATCCAACCGAGGAGCTGTCCTGCCCGTAAGGGAGGCACAAGGAGTACTTAGAAGCTGGGACAGCGAGGACGTTCTGGAGGTACTGGTGATGGTGGAGCAACCTGGCGGTCGCCGGGTCCACAAAACTGCCGCTTCGAAAGGGTTAAAATAGCAAGTTTTATGTTTTACAGCCAGGTGTTGCTGGCAGCTGGGGATACATTCAGAAAAATGCATTTTTTGGTGATTTTGTCATTGTATGACCGTCCCGAATTACACACACTGGGTGGTACGGTTTATAGGATCACATCATATGTGCAGTCTATCGTTATGTAGAGTGTGGCCGGACATATTTTACGGTAATAAAATATTTCTGAAAACACAAGTGCTCACAGATCTAGCGCAGCCCTCCAACACTGCGGTTAAAATCAATCTATTCATGCGGGATATTTATGGGACAGTGAGTATCTCGGTCACCTTCCCATCCCTGGGACAAAACCCCTGACACCCACAGCTGACGGGAGGAGAGGTTTATCTGGCTCACATCGTCAGAGGGTTCAGTCCATAGCTGACTGGCTCCAAGGCAGGGCGGCCTGGGGGAAGGACCTGGAGGAGAGCTGCCCGGCAACCAGAAAGCAGAGAGAAGGGAGGACCCGGGCAGGAGACCCACCCCCGCCGGCACAGCCCGCCCCAGGGACCACCCGAGCCAGCCCCCAGCTGGGGACGCACCCACTGCTGGGCCGACCCCTGAGGAGCACAGCCCCGCAGTCACCTTCCCAGCGTGTGACCCGGGTACACTGTAGGTCTGATCCAAACTGTACCAGGGCGGGAGGTGAGAACAGCCAGGGCCGGCGGCCCGAGGGGAGTGGCCCTGAGGCGGCACTCTGGTCCCGCTGGCCCGCTCCGAGCTCGCGGGAGGAGGCTCCACGGCCTCAGCCTCATCAGGCCGGAAGCGCGTTCCGTTCGTCGCTTCCGGGTGAGAAAGTCGTATCTCAAGACAGGACTAAGAGGCCATGTTCGCAGCACGCACGAAGGTCTGAGTCTAGAAGAGCTTCGTGCGGCCACGCTGCTCGGCCATACTGCCGATTGCCGCCTCGCGTGGGAGACGCGCCGAACCGGGCCGCCCAGGAGTTGACC